TATACAGGGTTAATGTTTTATTGTGCACTGTGCCTGTTCAAATAAAAGAAATAATAAATTCTAATCTAATAGGACAAATTGTTTAAAATTCACTCTATGCGTACAGGAATAGACGGAAATACCTGAAGTCCCCAAACAAATAGAAATACACTCCAAAACTGTCCCCCTTTCTCATAAACAATCACAAATCGAAAAGTGTGCACAAAAGTCCTACTGGCTGTGTGTGTATTACTGTTTCCAGTATGCTCATGCACAAGAGGGTGTGTACCTGGCAGTGGTAGGCCTGTGGCCTCCATAGACGAGCAGTGTCCTGGATGGGCTGTGGAACACCATTGAATGGCCAGCGGTGGCCGGGGGCTTCCCACCAGTTGGCTGAACAGTCTCCCACCGCCCAGAGCCATGCAGACCGAACCGATACAGAGAAGAGGAAAACATATCTTCCTCAGTGCGACCTGGGAAATAGGTAGAGGAAAAGGAAAGACGCTGCTTAAGTATGATTTGTTCCTCAATGGGTAAACGCATGTCGATCCAAAATGAGACTGCAAGATGACAATAAAATGTGAAACTCACCTCCAAATACGTAAAGATAACCATCTACTACAGCTGCAGCGTGATTGGCCAGTTTAGGAGCACCATGTGAATTTGAGAAGCCAAGCTGTTGCCAGTCATCGTGGACCGGCCGGTACATCCAGACATCACCGGCCATGGAGCCATTGGCTAGCTCTCCTCCAAAGATAACCATATTACCCGTCCACTCTACTGCTGTGTGGGAATGACGAGCCACCTGAACACACAGCCGAGCAAAACAATGAGAGAACAAAGTGAATGAAAAGGAAATGTAAAATAATAATTATGGGAGCACTCATATTCACACTGACTATGTTTACATGTCAAAACAAAACAGTTAACTAGGAGAAATAAGAGAACACATTTACATGCACTGCACTGCATATTATACAAAACCTACAGTACATTTATACACTGGCATATTTTAAGTGTATTTGTCATATGATATTGTGGCCTGGGGAGTTTTTTTTGCCAGGGTATCTGGACTGAGAACACAGTGAGAGGACAGGCTGTATAATGAAAACAATGTGCATTTGTGTCTGAATTTTACAAATGATCCACTGTTCAGCTGTGTAACCAACTTTGTAAAACTTAAAAATTTCAGCTTGAGTTTTATTGCTCTGAAAACTTTATCTAAGAAAATATGGGTTTCTTGCTTACATGACATTTAAAGAAGCAGGTTACTGCAGAGGGTTGATATTAACCAACTTGTGTGCATGTTAACACAGTATACGATGCAAAATGCAAGAGCAGGAGGAGAAAAAATGTGTGTTTGTGTGTGTGTGTGTGTGTGTGTGTGTGTATCCACAAATGACTTACAGGAGAGTGACCATAAGACCTGCTTTCCCATTGGTTTGACGTGAAGTTATATTTGATCAAGTCACCAAGAGCTCTGTTCAGGTCAAACCCTGGAAAAAAAAGGAGTAATAATCAAACAGTGGTGTCATTAATCATTAGGGATGCACCGAATATTCGGCATCTGTAAAGAGCTTCTCCACG